ACAAAGATTCAGGAACATCGTGAAGTGAAGGTATCATGCAAGCCTTCATAGTGGCACAGTGGTCACTTCTGATGTTGAAGGCGTGCCTGATCAGCCACATTTTTTATAATCCAATGTATGGGTGCATATGCCATGTGTACGTACGTGCCACAGGGCACTGTTACGAGGTTTTGCCATCACAGCAGTAGCAAAGGGAGAAGTTACAGCTCTAAGCTGTCCAGAGCAAGCCCCACAGCTTGAGTTTTAGCATTTTCCTGATACTTTTTTTGTTGTTGTTTGGTCCAGACAAAAACATAACTGGGTAAAGCAACAGGTTCAGATGCTTTCTTTAGAAACTTAGTCACAAAATGTCAGACCTTCTGAAAGTCAGCAAGGCAGACAGATATGGAAAGGTCACAGGGCCTGGCCAGTTCTTCCTTAGTTTTACAAACCTGGTCACCCTCTGGGGCAGGCTGCCCTCTGCACCACAAAGTCTAGTCAGCACATGGTACAACTCCCAACTCACCTCCCTCAGGTGACTGCTGCTAAGTGTGGGAAGGTGGGCATTTGACAGAACTATTTTGAGAGGACCACTCCCTGCAGAGCGTTTCCAAGTTCTCATTAACTACTGCACTTCCATAGCTGAAAGCAGTGAACAGAGAAATTCGGAAAAACAAGGATGAGCTGGAAAAAAGAATCCAGGAACTGAAAAGTTCCTAGAAGGAAATGGGAGGTCCCACAGCTCAGTTTAGAAAACAAGTACCTATTGCATCAGCGTATTAAGGTCAGCTGCCTGACTTTCTTTGCCTAAAGTAAAAGTAGAGGAAAGTATACCAGATGTTTAACAGCCACCTCCTGCAGACAAGAAGAGAAACACCTTTTGGGTGTTTTCTTTCAGGTGTACATTTCAACCTTTCTGTAATCCTGTTTTTCATGTAAAGTCTTTAAACGAAAGCTCTTTTAACTCACATTACAAATAATGGAAACTACAATGTCCTGTGCTGAGCAGAAGATGACAATAGTTAACTTACAAAACAGTGCAACACCTGATTCAAATTGCCTTTTTTTCAGAAATAAAAATAAAAATAAAAATTTTTCCCCTCACCGGAATTCACAGTTAAGTTGTGCAATACCAAACCCAGCCTAGGCATTCCGTGGGAGTCACATTAAAAAGACAACTCCTAACAAGTTGTCCACTTATAAGGAAGGTTGGGATGGGCTCTTAACAAAAAGTACACCTTCAAATATTCATAGAATATGAGGAAGACTCAGTATTATTCTACATTCTCATGCCAATTTCTTCCTTCATTACAAACTGGCTCAAAATTACCAGAAACTTTTTAGCAATGATTTAAAATCCTGATTTTACAACCTACCCCTCCCTATGGAAAACTAAAAGCAAAGCCTGAAGGAACACCAAGCCAAAAAATGCTTTCAACAATAATATATAGTTATCTTGAAGACTACAAGCATTTGGGAACTACAGTACTCCAAATTAAGGCTTTTTTGCAAAACACAAATCAAATCCAAAGCACTGGATCTGTCCCTGCAGCATCACTCTGAGGAAAGACTTACTGAGATTAAGGTCCTATTTCTACAGCCCTTACTGGGAAGATTCCACATGATAAACTTTTTTCTTATATATATTTATGGGATTTGATTCAGCTCCAAAATGGCTGTTTTCATCCACAGGCTCTCTGTCAAGCACCATGGCTCAGTTGCTACATTCACAAAGGAGCTGAAATTCACCAAAACAAATACTGCTTTAATTGGCTTGCTATAAAAAAGAGACACATGAACACATCTCTCTTCCTGGGAGGTTTTATGAACTATTTCCTCAAACCTGGAGGCAGGAACACAACATATTTAGCAGCAATTAAGTTCAAACATTTGGGATTCTGGGCTCTAAATCACAGCTTAGAAAGAGCTCTCTGCCTGATGTACTGATTAAACACTATATGTGAAACTAATGTTGGTCTTCAAAAATCTCCCCATAATTTCCCTATTGTCATTTGAGAAGAAAACTAGTAAGCTTTCCAACAAGGAGTAGGTTAACAACCATACAGTGGAAATACTTAATCAAGTGGGATTCACATAATTATCTGAAACGTGTAACTCTAGAATAGCTCCTCCTTGCTAACCAGGGCTGCGCTCCAGCCAACAACCCTTTACAGTCACTTCCTCTAACAATTCTCATGTACACACTCAATTTGACTATTGCCATGGACAGTACAGCTGCACAGAATTGCATAGTTATATTTTCAGGTTACTTTACACACTTTTTTATTGCTAAGTTGATGCAAATCCTTACCCACTTTCAGACAGCGGTTAACATTCCCATTGCTGCAAAGGGGATATACAGTTCTCCTCCGTTATTAAAAGAAACCTGCCTGGCCAAACCAACAGAATATCTCTGAGACCTCCAACCTGAAGACAACAGAAAGATTTCTACACATTAGACAGGATGAACTCTACAGCACAAAGTAAACACTTGATACCTCTCTGCAATCTACGACTGTGGCAAATAGGTCAAGCATGATAGCACCGGTGAAATTTATAGAGGGAAAAATCATTAATCAGGACAAGAGTTGAAAGTAAGAACTAAGTGCACTTTATAAAAATCTTCATATCACTCATTTCCATATCTCCTTTCTCTTAAGGCAGATATTTCAGGCAGGAAGGTCAAACATATGGTTTTTAAGACATTCCTCTTCAGTCTGATGCTCTGTCATTAGAGGTATGGGGCTGATTTCTATGTTCTGACTTAATGCAAGGCAAAGCTCTCTGGAAAATTTCATGTAAAAAGCTACTGCTGATGTAAATGCAAAGCAATCTAAAGCTAACGTACGTTCACTCTTCTTGGAAGTATCTGCTGAAGTTGGTAGTTATGATTGAAAAAGACAATGAACTCAGGCAGGTATATATTTCAAAGCTGTAAGAAAAAATGCTGAAAAAAATGAAAGTGTCTTATTGCAACTACCTCTTTAACAGTTTGCACATTTTTTTTGTGTGTTGAAGTTTCACTTCCCAAAACAGCACATCATAAACCAATGAAAATCAAGTTTCTGTAATTAACATTGAAATATACTTTCTTATTCATATCATACAGATGCAAACAACTAGATTCCTTTTGTTGAAATGGCCAACTATAGAAGCACAAAATGAGCTGTAAAAAATTTTTCAACCACAAGAGTAATGTAACTTTGTAAAGTTGTTCTTAATATATGCCACAAAAAGTTAATACTCCCAAAAATAAATAAATGAGAATAATTCTAGAGTCATAGTTCATAACTTGACAATCGTTGGCCACACATGGAAACATGCTGACCCTCTTGATGGATCAATGACAGAAGGTATGTTAATTAATATGGCAATGAGGCACCAATACAGTATGCATAAGTAAGCTGTTATATACAGAGGCTGGAAACAAGATGGCAAAGGGGAACAAAGGCAGGACTGTCTTCAGTCCACAAAGAAATGCATCACTAAACGATTACTATACACTGTGGTATGAGGCTTTGACACTGAACTCATTGCTTATCTTCTTAAGAATTCTTTTGATGCTATCTTTCAACTATGAAAGACACATTTTTGAAGGGAGGAAATTATAAACCAACATTTTTTCCACTTTTCTGAGAGAAGAGGCATTAGGAACATATCCAGAGTCTCTTAGTTGCACTCCTATTCCATTCCCCTTTCTAAAATTCTCTGAACTATTTGGAACCTATTTTTCATCTCACTCAAAGTACAATCCAGCAGACACCTCAACAGTGATTGAGATCACTATGCCTGGCACTCTGCAGAATCATAGAATGGTTTGGGTTGGAAGGGACCTTAAAGGTCATCCAGTCCAACTCCCCTGTCATGGGCAGGGACACCTCCCACCAGACCAGGCTGCCCAAAGCCCTGTCCAACCTGGCCTCAAACACTTCCAGGAAGGGTCATCTACAGCTTCCCTGGGCAACCTGTGCCAGTGTCTCACCACCCTCACAGTAAAGAGTTTCTTCCTAATGTCTAATCTAAATCTACCCTCTTCCAGTTTAAAACCATTCCCCCTCATCCTATTATGACCTGCCTTTGTAAATAGTCCTTCTCCAGCTTTCCTCTATGACCCCTTCAGGTACTGGAAGGCCACAATAAGGTCAGCCCAGAGCTTTCTCTTCTCCAGGCTGCACAGCCCAGCCTGTCCCACAAAACAAATGCAAGATCTTGTCAGTCTGACAAAGTGAAGCGACACCAAATGCTACCACACCACCTGCACCCTCTTGCTCTGTGCTCCAGATGTTGAAGGGCATCACTATAGCTGCATAATATTTGTTTTCAGATAGTAGTCTCAGTGCAAAATAAGCCTCTACACATAGCTTTTCTAAACACAAAAAAGACCCTACAATGCATTCATACTGTGTAACACATTTTTGTTTTATTCAGTCTCTTTCAAAGTTAGGCCACATAAGTTGCATGTAAAATTCACTATCTGCTACAAAGGCATTCCAGATTTCCATTTCCCCAGACACTGGGAGACAGGCACACAACAGCCTCACACGGAAAATGTGAGAAGTAGTGGCTCAAGTCAGTGAAATCTATTCTGCTCTCAGTCACATCAGAGAAAATCAAAAAGAAGACTCCACAGGAGTCAGTACAGAGTTACACTGATGCCAAAACAGGAAAGAAGACAGAATTAAGACCATTCAAACTCAAATCACACTCTAGAGATCTGCCTGTATGAAGGATCAACATATCTTGAACCCAAATTATTTATCATTCATTCTCAAGTGATATTTTGATGAGGTTCATTCAGAGGAACTCTCTTACTCAGCTAGAGATATGTCAATCTGAATTGTCAAAGTACAATAAAACAGACAATATATCTCATTATTAATGAGGTTATTAGTAACATCGTAAGTCCTGAAAAGAAAACTTACTGGAGCATTTGTACATTGAAAGATGCAGCAGAAGCATTAATCAACAATTGCTCTGCAAGTGGGGAAAAATGACCCTTCTCTATGTTAATAAAACATTAACATTCTCTCAGTATGAGTAATAGCACTCCTCTGAGCCAGCCTCATGCTAGAGGGAATCTTCATCTGTATCGATGTCACTGCTTGGTTTGTTCAGTCTCTCAAATTCTTCTCCATCCTACAGGAACCGGAAGTAAAACAGAACAATGTGAGCAGAAGTTATCTTTTTATTCATATCAACAAAAAAAAAAGAAAAAAAAAAGAAGAGTAAAGTTTATTTTGAAGGTATCACTTATATAAAATTAAGAACCTTAATTTAAATCTCTTACCAGTGGGTTATCAGGAAGCCTGCTCACATATTGCTTTTTGTTTTTACCACACCTGCTCAATTGTAAGTGCTAAAATAGATAACTCCTAGAATACCAAAAATATACAACTTTGCGATAGCACCATGTTGAATTTCTTTAAAACATCTCTTCTAAGTTTAATGTTTCTTAGCATTAAATGTAGACAGCACTCTCTGCTGGTTGCAACGTGTAGTACAGAACATCAACACATCCATACACACAGATTATGAGTACTCAGACATTAATCTTTCCTCCCTTATGTTGACTGCTCAGCTCAGTTGAAAGACATATCTAAGAGCATGCGCTCCTTGCCATGTTCTACTTAACTACATTACTATTCAAATTAGGACAAAAAAAAACCACTAAGGGGCCTGAAGAAAATGTTTCATAATTAAAAAATGATGGTAAAACTCTGTATGGACACATTACCTTTTTGTCTTCAGGTAACTTTGACTGTTAAGGTAGAAATAATCTTAACATCAAATATATTAACTTTTTTGTGATGTGGGCTCAGCTACAAAGATCTACCCAAGTAAAAATATTTCCTAGGTATCAATTTCAATTTCTGGATGTCCAGAGCCAGTAAAATATTTTGGTTATAAAGGTTTCAAGAAAGGATATGTACAAAGCTAAAGTTACTCACAGGACTGTGTCTATAGTCACAGCAGGAAAGCAACACTTACCTAGGCTTCATGAATTGAAAAAGAGGAATAGAGGAATACGCAAAGCAGTAAACAATCAGTGAAAGGGATTTTAAGAAATACTTGAGGAGTTTTGATGTTTAGGTTGAGTCTGGTCACATGGAAAATGAATCTTCCAAAGATTCCATAGCACAAAATGGAGGTGAAACAAAAGAGGAACCAGAAGAGACAAGTACTGAAAAGCCTTACCCCACTTGACCTCTCCCATGCATCTGCTTTGACAAGTTTGCCCCTTTCCCGCAGAGTGGCATATTCCAAGCCTCTTGATTTACTGGCATTATAGATGAATATGGAGAGAAGCACTACAGGAGCTTCCAAAAAGAACTCTAGAGAAGGCCTGAAGTCAAAGATGACGAAAGAGACGGCAGTGATGATGACAGTGGTGATCTGAGCCGTCATAACGTGGAACATATTGTCTCGAAACTTCAAGATGAAGGCTACAGACAGCCCCAGGAAAGCTGTGACAAATATGAGAGCCACTGAGAAGATATTGTGCCCATAAAAGAAGCCGCAGTTCCCTATCTGCCTCCGGTCCTTAGCCTGCAACCCCAGCATAAGCCCATTGAACAGCACCCCAAAGGCATAGAGTTTGCTGTTCTGCATGAAGATGCTTTCAGCAAGCTGATCCCCATCTTTCAAGATCTTTTCGTTGTAGATGTTAGCCAGGGCAGAAATGAAACACTGCACTATAATAAGCAGATGGCCCAGGCTGAGGCGGAGAGGTTTCAATGCTCCTGCCATGGTACTGGTGACGTTCCACTGGAAGTTGGGAAGAAAACTTGGTGCTACGCAGTTGCCCTTTTCCAAGCAAGCTTCCTCAGGTCTGGCATAGAGAAGGCAGTGGTTAGATGGACTAAAAAACATATTGTGATGAAATCCATGTACAGCCAAGCTTTGCTGATGGCCTCCAGTTCCTAGAGTCAAGGCAACGATGGACAGGAATAAAATCACCAGAGATGCCCATTGTACCCAAGAGAGTTTTCGCCTAGGAGCAGACAAAAAAAAGCCACCAACTTTAGAAACACAGTAGCACAAATTAAATGACAGGAGAACAAACTCTATAAAACACATAAAAGACATCATGCCAAGGAGACAAAGACAGGCACAAAGAAAAATCTTGGCCTTTCAGAATTGACAGTAAAATGCCAAAACACAGCATGCTTTTCTATGGCAAAGGGGACCAGCCTGGCTATCACAGAAATACAAAATGGAGTATTCTGTAGAAGTAACTTAAGGAAAGTCTTTCAAGATCATGTTAGTTCTAGATACTGATTGCCTAACATCTTAAAAAACAACTCTTGCCTCCATGGGAACATAAGTCTGATGGATATAAAGAAATCACAGACATTCAAATAATTAACCTCTTTCATTTGTAAACTTGCACTACATCTCACTTTTCCCCCATAAATTTGTGCCCTTTTTTATTATTTTATGATGGTAAAAACATACAAATCTATTCATGTAATTTATAAGACTATTAGAACCATTTATACTATTTTTTAACCCAAGCAAAGCCTGCTTATCTTGGGGAAAGTCAGAAATTTGGAAGATTATGTAAACTGTGACATCACAAGAGAGAAAACTAAACAACTGAGAGAAAACATTTCAAGTCAGACTATCAGACACTCTTTTGGTATAGAACCCCTGCATGAAAAGGCATCTTTGCTCCATGTTCAACACAGATGACTTTGAGTGTGAAGTTAACACCCACTTCCCTGTCACTCTTTTCTGTTCCTATCGGAAAATGGTGCAGTTTAACTTCTTCATCAAGCCTAGGAAGATATAAAATTTCATTTACTTTAGTAAATACTACTTACTTTAGTACTATCCTGAAGAGAAGAGCTGTCGTTATAATTACAAAATTTGAGAAGAGAACAGCCATTGCCTAGAAAGAGAAGAAGGGGAACAAAGTTATACTCCAGACATAGTGTGGATGTCAAAAGCCCACCAACTTCAAGTGTTCACCTTTCTGCATGGTGCCAGAGTGAAAACCATCATCATCATCTCGGTACTGAACTTTCTTCCTTACCCAAGTGGTAGAATAATACATCCCTAAAATGACATTCAAGTCTCGTTTCAATATCTCAAGCAAACCATAGAGCCTAAGTTCCTCTGTAGTGGGGACAGCTGCACTGAAACAAGGATGTGAGGAAACCAATCCAGCAGAAAACGTACTTAACAAAAAAGAAAATGGTTTAGTTTTCTGTCAGATCAGTTTCCCAGCCAGACTGACCTATCAGCTGCAGAAACAGCTGTGTCAGCACAAAGGAGGAAGTTGTTCCAAAATTAAACTAAGAAAAGAATAGGGGAAGGTGAGGCTGCTCCTGCCTGCAGTGCCAGTTTGCAGCATTCATGAAATTCCACACTTGAACAAGGCACTTGCAGAAAATAAACTTCTTGCATGTCAAGTGCATTTGCTGTATCATTTATCAAAGGTAAGGAGGTCCTTGGCTTGAATTTAAGACTGCAACTCTACTAAAAAAAATCACTTCTTTCAAAGTACAACTGAAGACAACTCTAAAACTCCTATCTAATTGGGGAACAGCTGTATAATAATGACAGTGCCTGAATCCATGGCCATGGCTGCAGACTCCTTGTGGCAAGGTTTGTCTTTTTGATCTCCAAATTAGACACTCTATACTGGGACACTGGACCATGAAGAGGCTCTTTTAGGCATTGCACTTACCACAGAAGATGAGAATTCACCAGCACTAGTGGGGAAAAGAGGTTCTTTTTGGGGGAGTGGAGGTGTTTCCCAAATTGTATTTTATTCAGGACTGCTCCGTGTAGTCAGTAAACATACAAAATTCTAGGTATCTGAACTCTTTCCTTCAATTCAGCCTTAGAGTAAGACCACTTTTTTAAAGACAATCTTACTCAAAAACATATATAGATTCCACAGTTATAGCTGAAGCTTCAAGTAAAGACCAAAATCTTACCAAAGCAATTCCATACTTCAAGCAACTGCTCACACGTGTACTAAGTCCCAAACCTACTTAGTTTTTTAAGTCACATGAAATCAAGTTCAGTCAGGCATGGATACCTTCTTTCAAGCATCTTGCCTCCAACTTTTCACTTTCAGTCTTGCACACTGTCAAGGTATTCTATCTTACAGGTATTTGGTTGTCTCTTAATACTTGTTTACCATGATAACGTTACCGTTTCAACTAACCCTCATAAAATATATACAGTGAAAAGGTATAAGACACTCAGAGCTCTAAAAAAAAAGGAATCTTAGAGCACATGTTCTGAGGGGAGAGAGACAAGGTGTGTATGTGTGTATGTGCATGTGTAAAATATAAAATCACATGTTTTACAAAGGAAGATCTTAACTGAGTCGAATCAAATTGCTTAAGAAAGCAATAGCATTTACATAACCTTCTAAACATCAGGCTTTGCTACTGCAAACTGAATTTCCTTCCTAAAGTGAGAAAAACCAAAACAAAACCCAAATGAAAAACAACAAATGAAAACAAAAAAACCCCAAACACCAAAAAATCACCACACAACAAAACACAGAACCAGACACTTATGCATGTTATTTTAAGATATCCAACTCTTGATTTTAATTAGATTTTTCCAGCCAGGTCCTATTCTAGAATGTGGTATGTCCCTGACAGAAACATACACCTAAACAAACAATATTTTAAACAGAAATTCTGAAAGAGAAGGAACAAAAACATTTATACTTATTTTTAATGACAAACGTACAGTCATAGTCTTCTACAGCAAACCCTAACCATCTGTTTCCATCTAACTTCAAATACAGATTCTGAACCAGAAAGTATCCTAGCAAAAAAATAAAAGCAAGCACAAAAACTGTACTATTTCCTGAACATCTATAGATCCATCCAAAAGGTTCAATGTAGCTAGAAGAAAGTACCAACTCAACTTTGTGCTTAAACATGACTAATAAACAAATGCAAAAATTAAGAGAGTTTTCTTCCTCTCCTCCTCAGTTCTTATTACACTTACTCCCTTTGTAGGATTACATTTACTTGCTTTTCTTTGCAGTCAGTGAGGAAAGAAAACAAGTCATAACGTGAAATCACACACAAAGTGGTAGAAGTCACACAGAAAAGTGCAGCTAAAATACTAGCAAGATGAGCAAATGCATTGAAAGAGAAATATAGGAGTTGAAGAAACCAAAGGAGGGAGGAAGGAAAGCACTGAAAACCTACCTAATACTTAAGCAATTCAGCCTATTTCCAAATCACTTTGGATGGAGAAAATACACAGGCTCCCCTCTACTGAGAGTTGTACAACACTGACCAGTGGACAAGAGAATGGGAAGGTCTGGCTGGTCAGGTAACAGATCATTCTTTTACCTGCAAATCTTGTATTGCCGGTGTTACAACTGTAGATAACCATGACAATAGCCTAAGGGCAACATTACCTATTGATAAGACATTGAAAGATACTTTATTCAGTATATGTATACTTACTGGCTGGAGGTAGGACAGTACATAGAAGACAATCAAGTTGTCCAAAAAGTAAAGAAAGGCAGGAATTGACCATTTCATAGTATTACAAAAATTCTTCCAGGAAAGACATTCAAAGGGATGATCCAAACAACCCTCTGAAATGAAAAGATAGGTAAGAAGGACATCTTTCTTGTCACCAAAGGCTCGTGTTCTTATAACAGAATAGGTACCACTGTTCTGTATTCAGGAATACTGCTAGACTGAAAAAACTAAAGTACCAGAGCCCTCTGGCAACATAAAGGACAGATTCAGGGAAGAACATACAGATAGAGCAGCAATCCTGTGTCTACGGGCATTCATGTCCTTGCTTCAGCAGAGAAGGCGTCAAACGAACCTTTTCACCCCCATCATAGTATTTGTCCACCAGGAACAAAAAATTCAATTATCAACCGTTCTTTGAGGGCCAAAAAGTATGCAAAAGACCCCATACAACAGCAACATCATTACTGAGTACGATTTTCTGATGATTATCAATCAAATCTAGAAATGAGACAACACCACAGACAGTGGATCTGTTCATATATCACCCATAGGGCAGGCAGTAATGTCAGAAACACAAAATAAACCACAACTCAGTATTGGTAGCACACAGTACATGATCTGGGTAAAAAGAGAACATACAGTTAAGAAGGAAGAAAGGACAAGGCACAAAGAATGACATTTACTTAGGTATTCAGGACACACTCTTTAAGAGGAAGACTGTGATAAACCTTAGACTACTCTAAAATTTGTGACATTAGTCTTTTGTTAGCACAAATTTAAGTCTACACAATGTTACGTAATCCTCTTCTGAACTACTGACACATTAGTTCAGCAAAACCGAGACATCTGGAAGAAAAAGAAGAAACAAGAAAGAAAAAAAGAAAGAAAACTAAAAAATGTGTAATGAGCAGTAGCCAAAGATGGCAAACACGTACTGAATACATTTACTGTCTTAGGTATAACTGTACTATGTGGTGGAGGTAATAACTTCATCAGCTTCCCAGAGCCATGACTGCTACATGGAGAAGTGGACAAAACCAGCAGTTCAATTTAACATCAGTCTCCAGTGCGTGACACCCTCTTTGAATTTAAATGTCTGTTCTCTACCATTTTGAAATGCTATGAATTTAACTTCTCATCCTTTTTACATCAGGTGAGAAAAGCCTAGAAAGAAAAAAGAAAAATAGCCTGCAATACAAAAGCAGTAGCTAGTGAAGCCTGACACCGCTTTTGCTGAACAGTGTCCCCAAGACTTGTCTTCACAAATAAGCTACCTCAAATTATAACATAGATATGTTACTTCCAACTCACATACCACCACACACACACACACAGCATCTTCAGGGGAAGGTGGTGGTGCTTTTAAATAAAAGTGGTCAGAACAACAGAACATAAAGGCCAATCCTTGAGTTAGTGTAATTTATAAGCTTCAGTTCAGTCCTAGCACTATGCTGTGTTAAAATCCTGAAAATGTTAAACTCTGTTTTCATTACACTTTCTAATTCAACTTTCTTGTCCCCGTTTCAGCTATCATACATACAACTCAAGAACACTCGAATTTACAGGTTGAAGTAGAGTTATGTAAGTAAAGTTTAGTTATAACTCTGCATTGAAGACATAATTCCACTGAATGTTTCTAGCAGGACCTACTCCATACAAGTACATGTGAATCTATCATTTAAAAAAAATAATAAAGAGATTTGAAGTACAACAAATCTTAGAAAGTCTACACATTTTAGGTATTTTAAACATAGGCACTTACCTTTTTTCTTAACCCATAGTGCCAATACCACACACAGGACCAGTTTTACTACTTCGGAACAGATGTTCACTGTTGTAGGTAAGTAATCATATTTGTTATCTGTGGGATTCAGCAAATAAGAGAGAGTATGCAATCAGATTCTGTCTCCTGTGTACGTAAGTAGAGCAAGAAACTATTTTAACCCCTCCAGTCAGAATTTTAGCCACGCTCCATAAATGCAAACATCGATGTCATCACTTTCATTATAAATATTCCAGTTTTTATGACATACAACTTCTCAAACAGTCTCTTTTCTGGGTTGAAATCTTGCCTCATTTGGTCCCAGTTTACAGCAGAACGTTTTGGAAGAGCTCAAGAACATCATCATTCTAAAAAAAAAAGTAAAAATGGGCATTTTTTCCCCAAACAGCAACATGCTATTTTTTTTCCCCTCACAAAAGACAGCTTGTAGGATGACACAACCTTCTTCTAGGACTGTACTTTTCCTCTGCTGCAACATTTTGCTAATACCTGGCTCTCGTGAGACCCCACCCATTGAGCTGTTGGAGTGGGTCCAGAGGAGGGCCACGAAGCTGATCAGAGGGCTGGAGCACCTCCCCTACAAGGACCACCTGAGAGAGTTGGGGCTGTTCAGCCTGGAGAAGAGAAGGCTCCAGGGAGAAGGGGGCCTACAGGAAAGCTGGGGAGGGACTTTTTTCAAGGCTAGGTAGCGATAGGATGAGAGGGAATAGTTTTAAACTGGAAGAAGGTAGATTTAGATTAGACATTAGGAAGAAATTCTTTGCTGTGAGGGTGGTGAGACACTGGAACAGGTTGCCCAAGGTAGTTGTGGATGCCCCCTCCCTGGAGGTGTTCAAGACCAGGTTGGACAGGGCTTTGGGCAACCTGGTCTGGTGGGAGGTGTCCCTGCCCATGGCAGGGGGTTGGACTGGATGATTTTTAAGGTCCCTTCCAACCTGAACCATTGTGTGATTCTATGATTCTATGAAAGGAGAAGCAGTAATACTGCCAGTTATAGCACACCTGCTACGATACCATTTTTCTTCTAAGCCTGTTGTGAGACAAATATTTCAGTCAAGACACATACCATTCATAGTGCTTACACAACAATTTAGTCTTTGAAAATCAGCTATAAAATAATACACAGCCTCATCTTTTAAAGATGAACCGTCACATGGATCATACACCTTGCAACCCAAGTTACCACTTTATGTTAGACCAGCAACTATATAGAAATTTTCCAGTACAGAAATACACGTTACTATTTATATACTAGAATGTTTATGCTAAGAACTCTGCAGACAGTGAACTAGGCTATCCATTTTACCCAATCAATTCTTTCTTATTTGAGATACATTGTGTTTATTGCCCAACAGCACCTTCATTGGCAGAATACTTCATCAGGAGGATTCGACTCGAGCCCAGCGCAATAAACACTCCTCCAAGCAGAAAGGTATAGATGGTTGTCTTGGAGCAAAACCCAAGTCGACTACAGCACTTGGTCTTCATTCTACTGTCTTGCTGTCAGTGCCCTTTGGACGAAAAGATTAAAATACACTAGTACTTCCAGAAACTGATTAAACACAGTGAAATGTATTTTACTGCTTTGTGTTATCTTATACAAATATGCTTATATCGCAAGCCATGATCTCATCCTACAGCTATCTTTCTCTTTTTTTTTAAATAAAATTAAAAGAGAGAGAAGTACATGAGGACCAGCCAAGAAGGATAAACAATGTATACACAGTAAGGTGGCACAAAGCAGCCAGTTTGTCAGATAAGGACATCTATAGAACACTGATTAACCGAAAGAATTCAATAAATGGACATGTTTATTGTTCTTTAATATTTTAAAAAGTGTTCTTGTTCCTCATTCCAGCACGAAAGTTTCACAGCTGTGGAGCAAGAGCGACATCGCAGAAGTGACCTGCGACTCAGTCCGCACAGGCCTGTGCCCAGAAGGCAGGGGAGAAATGCAGGGGTTATGGAGGCAGAGCCGCCTCCAGCGCTGCCGTTACTTGACCGAGCCATTAA